ATGGCTTAAAGCTGGCTTTTGAAGAAAGTAATTTAGGAGAGCAGAGAAGCTTGGGTGGCACTTCAGAGAAGGTGCCAAGTGACCACTCTGCTGGCCGTGTCTCCATATCCATGAGCCTCCCCTGCACTCCTAGCCCCTCCACAGCTTCCTGCCTAAGTGCCCCAACTTCTGACTTGCAACTGCGACTGCTACTGTTAGCTGTTTCTGTTAACCCTGTCCTGTCCTTAAAACTGATGTCTGTTGCCATGCCTGCCATGTTCTAGGCCCTGTGCTGGGATTCTAGATGCTTACATAGACCTTTACAATGAATGTGTGAAAGAGCATTATCTCTATTTTACAGGTGTGGACTTTGAAGTTCAGTGAGGTGAAAGGGTGCTTCCAAGATTACATATGTGTGTGTTTGTGCCTGTGTGTATTTTTTTTTAACTATGTCATTAGAAATCATCAGAATTTTTTATTCCTCTTGCTGTTAGAAACAGACCTCTACCAGGAAGACATGAATTTATCAAGCCCAAGTCATCTAATCTGAGTGAACTTTGTCTCATTTAACTGTTTCTGTCTTAGGTGTCAATCCACACACCTGGCTTAAAGCTTCCAGGCCTACCTGCCTAAAAGTAGGCTTGTGGTTACAGGCATATGAACTTATGTTCCTGGATTTCCCCTCCCAATTCTGTTAAAGGGGAGTAAGGATGCTGTGTCTGTCTATCTTCCTGACTAGAAGAGATGGGATCACAGCAACTGCTACACCACCAGCATCATTGCTGCTACTCTGTCACTCACAGCAGCAAAACAAAATGCCTTGAGCTTTCTATGAGCCAGGCACTCTGCAACGTGCTCTATCTCACACATTGACCTTTGAAGTAAGCCTATGACGCCCATTTTATAGGTGATAAAACCAAAGTAGAGAGAAAGTAAATACATATATTGCTTAGGGGCACACATGCTTTAAGTCCTGCGTCAGGATTCCAGTGCTCTCAGTTCCAAGTTCTGCCTTGTCTCCTCAGCCCATGGAAGCCTTCTCTAGGGTACAATCTGCACCTTCAGAAGGTACAATTTTCCTTGAAGGTGTGTGTACCATGTACTAATAAGCCAATTGTTGCAGGAAAGTAGGGTGCAAGAGGATGGTCATGTCCCAGGTCTCAGACGCACCCTGCCAAGTTGGAGTCCTTAGCTTTGTGCAGGAAAGAACTCAAGAGTGAGCCATAGTAAAGTGAAAGCAAGTTTATTTAGAGAGATACGCACTCCACAGACAGAGTGCAGGCCGTCTCAGAAGGCAAGACAGAGCAACCACGCGGTGTGGGGTTGTTAGTTTTTATGGGCTCAGTAACTCCATGTGCTAACAAGTGGGAGGATGATTCCAGTTACCTTGGGGAAGGGACTGGGATTCCCAGGAATTGGGCCACTGCCCACTTTTTGGCCTTTTACGGCCAGCCCTGGAACTGTCAGGCACCTGTGGGGGTGCCATTTAGCATGCTAATGTATTCTAGTGAGCATATAATGAAGGTCAAGGTCTACTGGGAGTCGAATCTTCCACCATCTTGGGCCTCAAGGTCTACTGGAAGTTGAATTTTCTAACATCTTGGGCTTAGTCTGGTTTTAACCAGTTTATGTCCTATCCTCAATTGCTGTGTCATTCTTTTAATGGTTGAGCCCTGCCCCCTTCCCTCCTGTCTCACAGTGATCGTTTCTCCACACGTTTGCATCCTGTTTTCAAGCACAACAATGCAGCTATATGCCCTCAGAAGAAAAACACAGTCATTTCACAGGGTTCAGATGCCTGCATTTTAACCTTTGGCCTCGAGTAGATAAAATAACTGTTTGAATTTACTGGCAACAGCTTATAGTGGCGATTCAGAGGGAACATGGTAATATTTCTCAAGAAGATAAAAATTGGAACTTGCAAAATTTATCGAGGATATTCTTCAAAGACTCCAGGATCCTTCTTCTGTCGTGTGTTTTTCACAGTGGTTGGCAAAACAGGGATGGTTTATCTCTAATGCTCTCATTTCAAGAAGTGCACTCTGATTTGTGAGATAGCAGATACGACTTTTCAGTCTTTTCATCCGAGGATTTTACACTGACACCCATGAATGCCAAGAAATAGGTGCAAAAAATATATGTATATACATTAGAACAAAGTCAAAGTTTTCTGAAAATGGAAATGGATCTATTTTAAGATTCCATAGTAAAGGCAGTCACCTTATCAAGATGCAGGGAAAAGAGCTGGAGTTGGGAAAGCAGAGGGTAAAACTTTATAAAAGTTTCACCACGTCTGACTAAGGTTCTTATTCTCCAATGATAGTTATTAACTCAAAATTTATTCAACTCTAACTAGGCAGTTATTTTCTTTTTTTTTTCAATAGTTTCCTTCAGTTTGAATGATAGGAAGGATCATTTAGTAAAATCTCTCTGTTTATTAAAAATGTGCTTATGCTTTGATCTAGTTCCTTCTAGGATTTTACTCCACTAGCATGCTTGTATGTGTGTTTGAGAATTTAGGTACAAGAATATTCAGTGTAGCACGATTTGTCACAGAAAATGTTTAGAAACAACCCAAATCTTCATCAGTTAGGGTCTAACAAGATAGCTTCAACACATGGCAGGCAAAAATTGACAGAATTCAATGAGAAACTGACTAATCGATAAATATTTTTTAAAAATTTAACATACTTTCCTCAATAAAAGTTGATTGAGCAGTCAAATTTTTCAGGGTCTAGATGATTTGAGTAACACAGTGAAATCCTGCTCTCATAAACATACATGGAACATCTCACTCAATGTTAGTGAACACAACCTTTTCAAGCACAGATAGGACCTTTCCAAAAATTGACTGTGTAACCTTGCACAAGATGTAACTAATTAAATATTGAAGAACCAGAGTCAACCAAAGACTTTCTCTAACTATGGTGTAATAACATTAGGAATCAACAACAACAAAAAAATGAAAATAAAAAATCCAACAAAAATTAATATCTAGAATATACAGAGCTTATACAAATAAACAACAAAATAAAATAGCCCAATACATAAATGGACAAAGAGTATAAACATGAATTTCTCAGGAAAAAAACTGAAAATCTCAATCATTGTATGAAAGAAATACTTAGCCATCCTAGCAATAAGGAAAATTAAAATTAAAATGTTAATAAGACACCATGTCACAGATTGACCAACTTTAGTCAACCTAATAAGACCAAGTATTTGCAATGACATGGGGCATTCAGAAATTGAAGTTTCTACCCTAGAAAACGACTTGCTTTTTTATGAGTTCCACGAAGAAGAGCGCTTACCATGGCACAGTAACAGTCAAAACTATCCCACAGAAGGGGAATGCTGTATCTACACAATAGACGGCATTTAAAAATGCTTTCAAAATGAATCGGATATTTACATGCATTGAAAAAAAATCTAACAACGTAATATTGTGTGGAAAAGGAAATCACAAAATGTATGTGGAGTATGATACCATTTATATGAAGTTGAAAAACAAGAAGTTATTCTTAACCACACATACAGTTGGTAAAAGTTTAAACAAATAGAGGGAAATCATATATACCAATGTGGGGAAAGTAGTAATATCTGAAGAGGAAATAGGACTAATGATGACTTTTTTGTAGACGTAAAGGTTTTCATTCTACCTTTCTTCCTCCACCACCTCCCTTCTGGTCTCCCTCCCTCCTCCTTGGTCTTCCATCTTTTCCAGAAGAATTCTTAAGCAAGTGTGCTGTAATTTTGATACTTAATTTTTTGTTGTTGATGGCAGACACACAGATTTTAGTTATATTCCTTTCCAATTTTTTCTGTTTTCAGTGTTTCATAACTAAGAGTAAAATATTTATAAAAATACCTGATTCTAAGGTTCTTTTTGGTTCACATTTTTCAGCCCTGAGCAGAATCCTTATTACTCATGCCCAATCACTGCTGGACTTCCTTACCAAGACCTCTGACCCCCATGCAGTCAAGCTGGCATACTGCTTCCAAGATATTCCTAAAAATACTGTGAAGCAGGTAGAACAAACTTCTGTGAGTCATTGACTTTATAGATGAAGAAAGAGAGAACTTTAGTCCAAGGCCATATAGTCAGAAAGAAGACTTCAATCACCACGCTCCAAACCCAGTGCTCATTTTGTTATTAACATTGCTTTAAGTTATCCCATGTCTTTTTAGCTTGAAGGATAGTTGTCTTATACAATGATACAAACATGATGAAGACCAGCAGCAAGGCAACTATATTTCACCTCTTACATCAAGCCAGATTAATTAGTAATTATAGTCTGTATTATGAGTGTCTGGTGTTCACTGGGGATCAGCAGAAATTGGGACCTGATTATACCTCAAGAATTGGAGACATATTTTTCATGTTTCAGATTAACATCCCGGACGGTAATAACCACCGGAAGGGTCCTTACTTAGTGTTGATTCTTAACTACTGAAATGTAAGATGTGTTTGTGTTTCCTTTCCCATGTACTCACATAGAAATGTGCACGTGACTAGCACGACTATTGTCTCTTGTCTGTTCTGTTTCAAACTTTGGACTGTGACATTTTATCCTGATGTTCATAACCATTATCCTAGTAAGAGCTCAGTCTTGCTATGTTGGGTGACTTGCCCCATGTCCTATAGTTCAGTGGAATCTTTTATTGATTCCACTGCGATTTCTTCAAATCCAAATGCCATTCTCCCCTTGAGAAGTGCTTAGATGATCCAAATCAGGCTACAGATCTTCCGTAGGTGACTTACAGAGTCAGTGGTTTAAAGTCTTACCCCAGGCTACACCAGCCACTTTAAGCAGTGATAGCAGTCTGCCAAGTTAAGCAATCAAACCATTTCAGTTGCATTTTTCAACCAATCGCAATTTATCTTTTCCCCCTTAATGTTTCAATAGTGTTAAACTATTAGTTTTCAGATCACATTTACTTCAATAGTTGCTATTTTTCTTTGCTTTTTTTTTTTTCCTTGAGGGGTAGGGGAAAGATAATAAGGTTTACTTTTTTTTTAATGGAAGTACTGGGGATTGAACCCAGGACCTCATGCTTAACAGGCACATACTCTACCACTGAGCTATTTCGTCCCCCACCCCACCACACTTCTTTTAAAAGTTGTATATGGAGTTGCTTTTAAAGTCTCTGCCTCAGCCAGTCATAGGAGTGGTATGCTTTTGTCAATGAGAAGTCTACACCCCTTTCCTCTGTTAATCTCTGAGACACAAAGTGGAGGCAGGTGATGAGGCTGTCCCCAGAGCCTTCCCAGGGAGGAGAGTGCCTCTTGAAATTCCCTCCTCTCAGTCAGGGAGCCCATTTTCTCCTAAATCCTCAGCATAAAATCTGAGGTGTGAAGTCTTGCTCTGCTGTCATTGCCCTCAAATCTCTCACCATCCATTTCCATTATCACTGCCGAGTACAGCTGGGTTTAATGATCTCTTGCAGCAAAATGAATGGGAATGGAGGGCCATACAGAGCGAGTCAGGAGGGAGTAGGATGTCTTTCTCCCCGCAGAAAACACCTCACTGAGGGAGAAAAAATGGTCATTTCTTTTTCATTCTTACTGTGAAAATCAAGTTAAAAAAACCACAGGTCCTAGATTCTACAGAAAAAGAAGAAATTGCAGTAATTCCTTATATTTAGACCATTCTCTTGTTCAAAGTGGCTGAAAGCTTTTAACAAACTTTTCTCAGCCACAAATCCCCCAGGCTTTAATGAAGCCTTCTTGAAACACTTGTTAAGAGATTACGTTCTTTTATTGGTTATTTCCTTATTCTCATACTCCTGGAACTTACTGGCCAGCAGACAGTGAATCTTTCACAGCGGAAACATTTCGTTTCTATTTATGCATGAATATTGATCTCTCTGCTCCCTTGGCCTTTAGGATTCTTGCCCTATGGCTTATTTTAAGGTTCTTCTCTAAGAACATTATGGATGCTCTCAAAGGACATCCTGCTGATGCTTGCGTCAGGTGGCAACTTTGGAAAAATGGAGAGGAACACCCTCAATATTTACAATCCAGAGACCTAGGGCTTGAGTTCCAGTTTTGCTCTGTATTATTTGACCATAAGTAAACTAAATTTATCTTTTTGGACCAAAGCTTCCTGATCTGTAAAATGATGTGGTTATTCCCTTGTTAATGACAACATTTTATGGCATGACAGCAGGGAAGCCTCAATGAATGCCAGCTTCTGTCTACACCTTTCTCTCACTACACCTTTGTTCTCCTGGGAGCGCCTCTTCCTTGGCCATCAACCCGACTTCCTCATTTGGCCTCCATCTAGAATCAGTCATCTTAAGAGTTAAACATTTCTTTTTAAACAAGTCATCTGTTTTTCTGACGACAGATTGGATAAAGTAGTACTTTTCTTAGTGAATTGAATAGAAATGATTTTATTTGACTCTTTGTGTTGCTGCTGACCAGCATTTCCATTCCTTACCTCCTTTGGGAAGGAGGATGATTTAGCTTTGCCGTATGGTGCTCACACCGTTTCACCTCTGATTATTCCTGCAAGGGTGCAATGGAACTTGGTGTTCTGTATCTATGTTCTGAGATACTTTTACAGCCTGAAGCTATGAATGAAGACTTCCTTATTGTCTTTACGGTATAGCTATTCAAAACAGCTAAGTAAAAGAATGAAGGTTTATACACATTACTATATATAAAATAGATAAAAAACAAGGACCTACTGTAAAGCACAGAGAACTATATTCAATTTCTTGTAATGAGCTGTAATGGGAAAGAATCTGAAAAAATATATATATATGTATGTATTTGTGTAACTGAATAGCTTTGCTGTACACGTGAAGCTAACACTGTAAATTGACTACATTTCAATAAAAAAATAAGAATTAGAAAAAAGCAATGGTATAAAACAATAAGTATATAATTGTACTGTTGGGCTTATAAAATATAGAAATGTAATACATTTGTTATTAGCACAAAAGATATGAATGGGAACAAAGCTGTTTTAGAATAAAGAAATAACACTAGATGATAGTTTGAACCTATGGAACAAATGAGAATCAGGAATTGTAAATAAGAAAATTTATATTAAAATTATTTTTAAAAGAATGAAGGTTTAAAGTATATTTTTATATTTGCTTTGTTTTTGTGGGTCATATTTTTCCTGTAAATCTCTTTCATACTTTTAAATCAGCTATGCTCCTTGTGGAAACCCACTGATTTCATATAATTTTATAAATTATGTTCTTGTTGGCTTTTGAAACATGCAGGGCCCTTGTCTTTGTAGCAGGGACATGATCAGGTTTTACTTTTTCTCTCCTGTTTGTCTCTCCTCTCTTGCCCTGCGCTGAAGTAGGGGTTGGAGCTTGGGGGAGAGAAGAACAAAGATGCCCTAATCGATGTTTTTGGCGACTTGGCAATCTGATAGATGGACTCTGGGGCCCGGCAGGTATGGAACAATGACCCTGTGTGGGTGCTGCCTGAAGCATTTAGAGGCTTGCTTCCCGGGCCTTCAGATGTGGACCGTGCGTTTTCCCCTGGATGCTTACTGTCTCTGGAAGTCCAGTTCACGCAGACCCCTCTCTGCTGGAGGCCCCTGCCCTCCAAGTAGTCCTCCTGCAGGCAAGACAGCGAGCTGGACACGGGCCCTCCTTGTGGTCTGACCCACGTTTGGTCCACGGCAAGTGCTCACATATCTTCTTCCTTGAAACTCAGGGCGTGCAGAACTACACATCCCTTCTCCTTCACTCAGCAGCCAGCTGGGCCATCCTGCTCACCTTCTCGATTTTCCACATGTGGATCAGACATGTCCACTCTGCTGTCTACAGTCAAAGTTACATATTCTCAATTCCATGAATGGTCCCACTGAATCCTTTCAATTTTAGGAGAGGATGGAGGTTGAGTTCCCTACTCCTTCCTCGGGTACAGAAGGTACAGATGTGTGTGTGTGTGTGTGTGTGTGTGACAGAGAGAGAAAGAGCTCCTCTGAGCAAGAGACTTAGCCTTCCATAACCCTCTTCATAAATTCCTTCTATGCCTCTTTATATTCTTAATATGACGGAGCCAAGATACCTGCAGCCAGTTCTCAATCAGCGGCTTCGACGATTTCTGCAGGAGGAGCTGCCTGACGCCATGCTGTCAGAGACAGCTGCTGTCTGCTGTATTTCGGCCTCTCAGCAGAAACTTTGAATTTAATGTGATGTTAAAAATGTGTTCATAAATTTGACAAGAAATCGTATTTTAAAATGCACATCTCTCCTCACAGTCAATCTTTTAAGAAGATCACACGTCCTCCAATTACTTATTCTTTTCAAAACTGTTTCCTAAATAATACCAGATCCCCGTAAGATAGATTAAAAATTCTCCCATTTATTAATATTTTCTTACAACGCACTAGAATTCATTCTACAAATATCCCTTGAGCGCCTACTGTATCGCTCTTTGCCTGCTTCTGTTCCAAGGTGAATAATCAGAGCCCTTTTTCTCAGAGAGTTGGCAAACTAATGGGGAAAACATGTAGTTACAATGCTCTGCATGAAGTGCTGTGTTGGTACATAGATAAAAGCACTAAGGCACATAGAGGAGCACCCAGCCCCGTCTGTGGGATGTCGTGGGAGGCATCCTGGAAGAAATGGTGGAAAGAATGAGCTTCAAGGCTGAGTAGCATAAGGCCAAGAGAACAGAAATTAGGAAGGTTCCTGGCACAGGGAAGAAGATATGCAAGGGTCCCCAGGGATTAGAAGACCAATTCATGAACTCAGAGTGGCAGAATCACTACAATTAGAGGATATGATTTTTCAAAAAGTGGTAAGAGAGATGATCTAGGGCTAATCACAATGGACCTTTTAAAAATAATATTAAAGAATTTGAATTTTACTTACTAGGAAATCAGGAACATCACATTAGGTGTTGGGAACATGAAGCTAAATAAAGCAGAGGTCCATGACTATCAAAGACTCAGAGTATGGTGGTTATCTTCATTTGCATACGTGCTTTGTAGTTTACAATATTTTTGTATAGTTTCTTACTCAGCTATTACAATAAAACTATGATAAAGGTGTTATTCTCTTATACTGATGAGTAAAATGGGCTTACTGGTGTTAAAAAAAATCACCCAAAGTCACACAATAGTTGTGGTAGAGCTAAATTTTGAACTTGTGTCTTTTAAACTCAATTTTCTTTTATTTTGGTTATGTTTGTGTTTATGGATATTTGAAAAACTCTACATAATTTCATGTTCTAACCAATGATTGTTTATAAATAAACACCAATAGAAGTACAATTCTGAGAAGACTTTATTAAAAATGAACTGTCTGTTCTTGACTAATGCACTTTATTTCCTTCCTTTCTAGCGACATGAACAGTTTTACTTATAATAAAATATCTCTCCACAAGGAAGTCCATGAAGTTTTCTAGGTTACTCTAGTTCCCTATTTACTGCCGAGCATTTACCTTAATTCATAACTACCCTTTTAATCTGGGGAGCAAGTAATCCTACATGATAAATAGATCAGTGTATAAATAGATGTATAGATACACTCTCAGACTACTTAATAAACTCCTCAAGATCAGCAAGCTTAGTTTCCTGTTCCTTTCTAAACTGTAAATAATTTTTGTTGTTATAAAGGAAAAAGAAAACAAAATGAAATCAAAGGCTAATGCCATCTAAAATGCCACTTAAGACCTAGAAGCTGAGAGAGAATAGATTCCAGATAAAGACACTTATTAAGTTTTCTGGGTAAAGAGAAAAATAATGACTTTGACTTTTACCTTGAAGGTGTGGTGTCTTTCTAGTATGTATTAACATCTGTTATCTTCTCATAACCATATCAATTTCTTTCTGAGAAGTAAGGATTGATTCTTCCTATTTTGCTGCCGTGATTTACTGGTCCCCAAAGCTGGCTATTGCACTATAAGCTCAGACAGAGTTATGGTGGGACAATATTAATAGCAAAGACCAAGCCAAAGGGCATCATATATGGGTTGATTTGAGGTAAACACAGAACCACTGGAGAACGAAACTGCAGAAATGTCACCCTTCTGGTTTTATCCAAGGTTGCTATCTAACTTGGTTTCCTTTTTTTTTTTTTTTTTTTGGCAAAAAGGAGACTCTATCAGAAAAACA